AATGGCCTTCAAAATTGTCACAGCATCATCTTTCAATAAGTGGTTGATGAGGGAAATAAGGGAGGAGAGGTGCTCCTCTCCTTCCTGGGAATGTTCGTTGGCTGCCGGGATCAGAGCCACCTCCGGCGGGAGTACCTACATGTCAGAAGAAAACCAAATGTCAATGTGGTAGTGACATTTCGGTCTTATAATGTCTTAGTTTCCTTTGAAGCAAAAACAGTTTTAAAAATCCATGTTAAAAAGGAGGAAAAAAGTTAGGACTTGTTACTAATCTCGCGGCTGAATAATTAAGTGTGCCTTATTCTGAAAGTAGCAGGCGAAATTATGCAGTGCCAAAAGTGACAACTCTCATACCTACACCATCCCGTCTCTAGCAGCATGGTTTTAACTTTATAGCTAAACTACGCTGCCAGAAAACCTAATAAAAGGAAGCAAAAATATTTCTGTTTATACCAAGCTGCCATTTGAGAAAGACTTTTAAATATGTTCTTCCCCATGTGTAAATCTGACAGCAGTTGCATAATTAAAACCCCAGTGGAGAGTTTCCTTTTAATCTTTTCAAAGTAAACCGGTAAAACGTCCTTTAGGATGTGAAATGATGGATTAATACTTGGCTATCTTTGAGCCTCCGAGAATATTGTTTAGTGCTGAAAGAACACAAGCCACCATCTTTATCTGTAGGAGTTCATGTAATCACAGGAGATGCAGATAATGATGTGCCAAAGGGCACACGTGCACCTATGATGAGTTCTGCTCATCTTGGATTTTGTTAAATGGAGGACCGAATAAACGAATGCAATCACATGAAAACAAACTTGATTTCAACCCCTTAGGAATATGTCACGTAGCATAGATGAAAGAAATAATAATTACCCAGGATTTCAGTTCAGTGTGAGCAATCAATATGAATGATTAGGCCACAAAGTGGTTTTTTATTTTACTTGAGCTGTTCAGGTTGACTTTCTAAACAACCTCAACTACTGCTGAACAATCACTGGCAAATTTTTCCTGGATCTGTACCATGTGGACACACATGTGTCTCTACAGTTGCAAACTGCCTAGCTCTGGGGTTGGGGCCCTGTTCAAGCCAAATGTCCAGACAAAGATTTCATCTTATCATGATGTTCCATCTAACCCTGAATACACATAGCCACACCTGAACTTTTCTTCTATGTCTCCTGTAGCTGAAGGCCCATTCCTGCCCCTTCTTCCCCTTCCCTTCCCTGCACGTACACGTACACACACATGTACACGTACACACACACACACACACACACACACCCACACACTGGGGCAAAAGAAGGCAGGAAGCAAGTGGTTTCTGTCTTTGTACCATTCTGATAAACATCAGAATGTCTCCTACTTGCTAGCACCTCTGTCTCTGACCTTCTTGGTATTGGCTCTTGCCTTCTCAGCTTAGACCTGCCAGATGCTTCTAGTCTCTCTGACCTCTAAGATATGTTTGATCCTTCACGTTTTCTCAGGACTCAATCAGTTGTTGGCCTGACCAACAGACCAGTCCTCCTGCCCAGCCCTGCCCTGCTGTCAGACCCACACCCACCCACACCCATTATTAAATACTCCAGTCTCAAACAAGGATGTGCCCACTAATTATATGCATGAAATCGGTAGACCAAACACTGCATAACGTGGATTCTGGACCCAGCTGAACATATAATCAACCGTGACCTGAGACAAGTCCCTTAACGCTCTGCACCACATGGGATTGGACTAAAGGTCTCCTCCTTGTTCTAGTCATCTTTAGTGCAAATAGCCAGGATATGCCGCCCATAAACACTGTGATCCATCTGTTGCTGGAATATGCTTTAACCTGTGTCTTGTAGGATAAGCTTTAACTTTTCAAAATGTAGCACCGGGCCTGACATACACAATTCATCATATTTATAGAATAAATAAAAGAAGGGTTTTTTTTTTAAAATACTAAGATCTAGATGCATCATTTAGCAGGGTCCACACAACACAAAAAAGGAATATCCACACTACAGCACGGACCATAGACACCATGATCTTATACTGATCAGATAAAACTGAGTGCATGTGAATTTCCCTCCCCACTGGATGAGGTGACAGGCAGAGAATCCTGACTGCCCATTTTGGACTGAGCTTTGGCTCCCTGAGCCACTAAATCCATAAAAGCACCAATACTAATAATTGTCTCTGAAGACTCAGGGCATTTAAGGGAAAGAAACTATATAAGCAGAAGAGAAACTGACGTATGTAGGTCTTTAGTTAAATCTCATTGAAGTACATTTTGCAAGAGAAGGCTGAAATGACAACCATGGTACTTTGGGATTCAGCAGAACTTATCTGATGGACAGAATGACTGATTTGAACCACTGGCCCAGACCACTAGAGCAGGTGGATAACTGACAGCAATCCTGCTACTCGCGTGGCTGCCCTGGCATCCCCGCAAAGGTCTGTTTCGATGCTAAGCTGTCCACAGGCTGGTTCTGGTCCCTGAGTGCAGCTCCCCTGAGAGATACATGTCTCCCTGCAGCAGATTTTGGAAACAGTGTGCTGGGTCATTCGTAACACAGCCACATGCTTGAGTGTAGCCCTCCTACACTGCTTGCCTACATCTGAAAACACAAATCAAGAAAGAGAACATAGCTCCTTTCTGCCTGACTAAAGAACAGCCTATTCTGCCAGTAGATTAAAGGCTGGGGCTTGGAAAAATTTGCCAACACACAGACTTGATTTTGTGCAAAGACTGAGAGAAGCTTTAGGAGCTGTGGCTGGGCAGTGAATGAAGAAATTGATGGGAGCTCCATCAGAGAGGTGCCAAGACCACATGTCATTGGCATGGGGCCCCCTTCGGGTGGACTCACTGCCTAAAGGGGAAGAGGATGCTGCTAACACCTTTCCCTTTAGCCTGTGAGTTCCCTTAGGAAGTTAAAGCCAGAGTGTGTAAGTGGGAGAGAAATGCTGTCACCACCCAAAATGTGCACAGGTATGCCTCTAGGTGGAAGAAAGCAAAAGGGTATGTTTACAAGAGGAAGAGCACAAATCAGTAATGAGCGATGAAGGCATGATGTCATCCTCTAGGACTAAGCATCCTTAGTACTTTTAAAGCACTTCAAAAAAACTCTAGTTGCTATAGCAACTTGATGCAGCTCTTAAAAGGGGATTTTTTTTGTGGGGGTCATTTTATATCTTCAATCACCATAACAACATGATATAGCTTTTAAAGGGTATTTTTATCCAATTTGTGTGTGCTTTGGGCTTGGGCCATATTTGCCTTTTCTACTTAAAATAATCAGATCAAGCATGACACATGAAAAATCATTGAAGGAAAGGAAGCCCTTTCGTAGACTGTACATATACACTCAGAGAGACATCTCTAGCTGCTCATATCCTGCACATGGATGAAGGCTTTCTGTCTCCCAGCAGCCATCTGCGATGGCTTACACTGGCCAGTTAGTCTGTGCCCGTCTCTGAGCTGGCATAGCAAACTAGCCCAGAGCCTACCCATGGAAGGTGTGCCCATGCAATCCCTCACTGCTCAACCCAGTGAATCCAGCCCCCTCCTCCAAAACTACCACCAGGAGATAGTGCCTTGGGGTGACTAGTGATATGGCCAGCCGAATGCCTTCTCCCACCCTGGGACTCAAAGCAGGAGCAGATGGGACACACAAAATCTCACCAAAGTGGAAATCCTGTATTTATACTGCACTCTCTAGTAGCTGGGGAGGAGGTCTGTTCACATGACACCCAGGGTCCAGGGAAAGGGGGGATGGGGAAAGTGGGTGTCAGGAGAAGAAGTAAGACAAGGAAGGGGCAGAGTGGGGAGCAGCAAGGGACTCCAGCTTCTCTACAGGAGAGGTTCAGAGGAGGGGTAAAAGTGGGAGAAGTGGGGGGCTTATTAAAGGAGTATTTAAACAGCATGTTGTGTATGGCTGTGAAACCGTGAGCTGTTTATCCCAAAAAAAAGGAAAAGGGGGGGCGCCTGGGTGGCTCAGTCGGTTAAGCGACTGCCTTCGGCTCAGGTCATGATCCTGGAGTCCCGGGATCGAGTCCCACATCGGGCTCCCTGCTCAGCGGGGAGTCTGCTTCTCCCTTTGACCCTCTTCCCTCTCGTGCTCTCTCTCATTCTCTCTCTCTCTCAAATAAATAAATAAAGGCTTTTAAAAAAATAAGGAAAAGGGATAATAAGAAGTATAGAGAAGCCACCCCTCCCCCCCCCCACCCAGCTACCCCTTGGTGCCACTATTGGTTGGAAAAGACGGCAAGGTAACAGGAGAGGTCAAGAAATTGGAGAAGTTGGGAGGGGGTGGAGGGAGAAGGGTGAGAAGTGGGGGAAGCAGAATAAGAGCGCTGAAGTCCGGGCCTCCAAGTCTAACGGGCTTTTCTTTGGGGGAGGTGCGGTGTGGACCGGAGGAGAAGCGGGTGGGAAGGAGATCAAGGAAAGTGGTCGCCCTCCCCAGGGTAAAGGGCTAGAGGATACTGAAGGAAAACGCGTGGCGAAAGAAAGAAAGAAGAGAGAAAAACGCTATGAGTGGAGGTAAAGGGGGCTTCCCAAATCATGTGGATGAGGAAACAGACCCAGGGGGCGCGAGAAATGCAAGGAAACAGCAGGCCCTGGACGCTCGTTCTCACGAGTCCTCTTAGAGGCGAAAACTGAGGCACACAGAGGTTAAGTCATGGAGCTGGCAAGCGCTGGAGCGCGCGGGCGGCCGCCGGTCAGCCCAGAGCCTGGGTGAGGGCTCTCCCCGTTCGGCCGCACTGCCTGGCAAGTCACCGCTGGGTGAGCGCCAGAGATGGGCCTCTCAGGCCACTTTCCGCGCCGACAGCCGGTTAAGAAAGAGAAGGGTCAGGAGGAGGGGGGACGGTCTGAGGGGTGAGGGCAAGAGGAAAGTAGGCGGTGGGGTGTTAGAAGGTAAGGGGGGAGCCAAGGGACGCGGACCCAGCCTTTTAGCGGTGGAAAGAGCAGCAGGTGAAAGGCACGGAGAGGAAAGACGCGCGCGTAGCGCGCCGCTCACCTATGGTCGATACCACGGTGCCCACGAAGTAGAAGGCGCCGGGGAAGTCCCAGCGCGGGCGCAGCGCGTCTGCTCGGACGCCGGCGGCCAGCGCGGCCTCGTAGTGCCGGAGGAAGGCGCGCAGCTCCGGCTCGGCCACGCCGTGCGCTGCGCTGAAGTTGCGCAGCGTGGCGCCCCAGCGCGCCCGCGCCTCCGCCTCGCCGGGGCTCTCGAGCGCAGAGAAGACTGTGGCGCCGGCCACCAGGTAGAGGCCGATGAGCGCCGCCAGCAGCACGAAGCGACCCGTGTCCTCGTTGAGGTGCGAGCGGCGGCAGCAGCAGCAGCAGCAGGAGGGGCGCGGCAGGCGGCGGCGGCAGCGGCGGGGCGGGGGCCGGGGGCTGCGGGAGGACATGGTCCGGAGCTCAGCCCCGGGGCCGGCGCGGCGCTCGGGGCCCGGGCCGCGACATCCCCCCCGCGGGAGCAGAAGCGTGAGGATGATGGCCAGGGGTCGGGGGCCGCCGCGGAGCCCCTTGCCGCCTCCCCCAGAGCCCGGACGGCAGGGCGCCTCGCCCCCGCCTCCTCGGCGCTCAGGCCGCACACGGGTCCCGCGGCCCTTCGGGCGCCCGGGCTGGGACGCTCCTCTCCGCGCCCCGACGCCTCGCTGGCTCCCGCGGCTCCTCACCCGCCACCCTCGGGCGCAGGGGTCTGAAGCTAGGCCCCTGCCGCCCTGTGGCCGGCGTCCGCGGGGCCCCGGGCCTCATACTCCTCTCCAGACAGGCCGCGGGCTGCGGGCGGGGCGGGGTGGGGAACCCGGGAGCCTAAGACTGGGACGCCGCAGCAGGGCACGAAGAAAGCCCCCGGGGGCGTCCCATGGGGCGTTCCCCTCTCGGCGGCTCCCAGGCGCAGTCTGCGCTGGCAGTCCGCTCCCACCCCCGGGGCCTGAGCTGGCGGCGTCGGCTTCGGAGCCTCAAGAACAGAGCCGAGTCCCGGGAAGCGCTCCCTTTCCAGCTCCAGGCGTAGAGCCGCCCGGCTCGGAGAGGCGGAGTCACCGGCGCCCGGGGCGGGGTGTTGGGGGGGAGATAAGGCTGGAAGGAAAGGGGTGGGGAGTTGGGCTGCTGCGACGCCTCCCGGTCGTTCTGGCGGCACTAAATGCGGGGCACCGAAGCAGGTGTTAGGACTGCGGTGCTGGCTGCCCCCCTGCCGGGGAACCCGGTCCGGCCCCTCCCTGAGCTTCGGCTTCGGAATCCCTTTCTTATCTCCAAGCTGCCGCCAAACTTTGCTCAACTTGACAGTGCCCTGCGGTCTTCGGGGTTGGGGGCCACACGACGCGAATCTTCCAACACCCTGTTCTCGGGCTGCAGTCCGAAGTTTAAGTTCCCTCTTGCTCGCTTCTTCTTCTTGGATCCTTCCGCAGTGCTAGGTCTCTGAGGGTTCCTTTGGGGAAATGATCCCGCCTGGGAAGGAATGGGGGTGGTGTCACTCGGCTCCGGGCGACCTGGGAATGAGGGCGTCTCCTCCCCTCCCGACCGAGCGGGCAGGCGGCGTCAGCACCGCGGAGAGCGCATCGATGCCGCAGCTCGGGGGCGGGCGGCGCTAGGGCTACCGGGGCCTGCAGCGCGGGGCGAGGCCCATCACCCTGATGCGCGGTGCTCCCCAAACCCTGTTTCCCTTTCTCCTTCTCCTATCGCCCGCCCCCCCAGTCGGCGGCAGGTACAGCTGCTGAGCAGCGTGCTGACAGGGCCAGGACGCTGCGGAACAGAGACAGGGGAGGAGTCAAGTGCGAGTAGGGGATTGAGGTGCCACCGGAGGAGGAGGCGTCCAGACCCACCCTGCTGCTGGGTCTTCTTTCGCCACCCCAGCTTCCTGACTTCTCCAGCCCGCGGTGGGGAAGCCTGGATAGGAACCTGGCTGTGGCAGGGTGGGTAGAAGAGGTGCAGGGGAAGCTCCCTAGCAGGCTCGCTCCCCCGAGGCCGGCGTGGGGCGCGGAGGAAAGGGTGTGCTTTTGAGAGCGGCGGGGGCGGGAAGTCGTCGTCCCCTAGTCCCGCGGCGACCGGGAAACAGCGGGTGCTCCGCGCTACCGCGGGAGCTTCTCCGCGGAACACAGTCCCGGCTTCGCCTGGGTCACAAAGTTCTGTGGCGAGTGAGGAACACCCTCGGTACGGAGGGACGGAAAAACATCCTCTTCGGGAAGCCAGCCCCTTCTCTGTCTGCCACCTTCCCATGATGATGATGAGACTACGCAGATAACAGAAAACAAAAACAATAATGGTGACTGTGTTTAGACACGCTAGGTGGGTGAACTGTGGCAAAATGTAGAGCTATCTCCCCACCCATTTCCCAGCCTGTCTGGCCTCCGCACCAGAAAACACTCAAGCTAAGGTCAACCCAAAGTGGTGGCAGCATCGTCAGTCCCCTTAAGGGTCGGCGTGCTCAAAGTGGTTCCTGAAAGAGCCTCCGCTACTCACTGAGCATTTCCCAGCTTAGAAACTAGGTACCTCTGAGCCCATGCCACCACATGGAGACTGGGGTGGGAGCAGGAGAGCTATTAGAAAGCTAAAAGGCATCTGACTTGGGGCATTGGTTTTCTTAAACCAGGCACATTGGAGACTTGGATCTTCCTAGAAATGCTGTTCCAGTTTGTAGATAGAGCCAACTGCACTCCCTTATGCGTTAGGGTGGGACAGATGAGAAGAGACTCCACCACCATAGTCAGAACTAGGATTTCTGGCTGTGAGTGGCATGTGTCAAGTTTTGCAGTGATCTTCTTAGAAAGGGGCAGGGGAATCTTTGCATGAGGGGGAGAATATCTCATTCATACTGGGAGCTTTATTTATTTTTTAAGATTTTATTTATTCATGAGAGACAGAGAGAGAAAGAGAGAGGGAGAGGGAGAAGCAGGATCCCCTCTGAGCAGGGAGCCCCATGCGGGACCCCATCCCAGGACCCTGGGATCATGACCTGAGCTGAAGGCAGACGCTTAACCATCTGAGCCACCCAGGTGCCCTTTAGTGGGAGCTTTAAACAAACACAAATTATTGCCATTGCACACTATTGCTATTATTTGCAAAATGCACTTCAATTATTCTCTTTCCAAGTCTTTGCCTCTCTTGGGCTTTATAAAAGTGCTGTTTCCCCAACTTCTTCTCTCTTCCCTGCAATACCCCCATCTCTACGAGTTCCTGCAGTCAGGGAGGACAGCCCAGCCATGGACCTTTGGAGCTGGATTCCACTTGACTGGTCAGCCCTGACAGAAACCCTGAGAAGTGTCATTCCAGGAGTTGGCACTGGAAGCCTCCAGATGCAGCTGAAGGGAATTGCCAGACCTCTCAGTGGCTTTCTTTGCCCAGGCTCCCAGGGCAGGGACAGAGTGCTTTGCTGCAGTGTTCTGTGCCTCTGGACCAGTTCCTTGCCCAGTTGGCAGAGGGCCTGCCTTGTCCTCCAGCTTGTTATTCTAGGTTGAATAGCAGCAATCCCCTGGCATCAATCCCAACTCTAAATGATCTAATCAATTTATATAATAGGAAAATGATGAGTTCCCTGCACATAGGCGCAGGGTCCTTTGGGGGACCAGTCCCACGATGAATGCCACTTTTGCCCCCTGAATCAATATTTAAGTCACTGATTTCCAGCTGGCTATCCTCAAAGCCTTTACCTTGGCCCTGAATTGCTGCAGGAGCCTCCTAGGTATGAAGCCTTGCTATCTCAGATGTCTCCCTTTTTAGCTCCATCCTGCTTGCATCTGCCAGTCATTGCTGTGATCATGCCATTTGATCTGATCATGTGACTAATGTCCCTAGATCACAGTCTTACATGGCTCCCCCAAAACTATAAAAATTTAGTCTTTAAACCCTCGGGGCTGCCATTCAAAGCCCTTGCTGATGTGATTCCCAGCAAATCATTCCAGCTTCACCTTCTGCTATGGCCTGCTTATCCTCCAAGTACTCTGTGCTCAGCCCAATCATCAGGCCTTTGCTTGTGCTGTGGCCCCTGCTGGAGTGCCATCTTCTTTCTCCTTCTCTCCAGCTCTTCAAGTATACAGCTCAGTTGAGGTTAAAACTTTTTTCCAGAAGACTTTTCCTTTGTAGGATATTTTGACCCAATCACTTTGATGCCATCATTTCAATCCTAAGATCATTTGATTCCGCTTTGTCCTTGAGAACTTCAGATAAGACACCTGAGCAGGTACAGGTCTTCACTTTTTCTGTATCTCTCTGTTTTTTATAAAAGAAAACACAATGGCAAGAGCATTAACCAGGAAAATTAGGGAAGGTCAAATGCACCCAATTGGCAATTCTACCCCTACCCATATACCCAAGATTAATGGAAAGATATAGCCACACAAAAGCTTGTCCATGAATGTTCATAGCAGCATTTATCAATAGTAGCCAAAAAGTGGAAACCACCCATCAAGTTCATAAGTGTCCATCAACTTATGAATGATAAATACAATGGGATATATCCATACAATGACATATTCAACAATAAAAAAGAATGGAGTACTGACACATGCTACAACATGAATGAATCTTGAAATATCACACTAAGTGAAAGAAGCCAGTCACAAAAGATGACCTATTGTATGATTTCATCTGTAAGAAATATCCAGAATAGGAAAATCCACAAAGATAGAAGTAATTTAGTGTTTGCTTTGGGCTGAGGAATTGAGGAGGAATGGGAGTGACCACTAATGGGTATGGAAGTTTCTTTGGAGGTGATAAAAATATTCCAAAATTGTGGCAATGATTACACAGTTCTGCAAATATACTAAAAAGCACCAAATTGTACATTTTAAATTAATGAATTGTATGATATATGAATTACATCTCAATAAATCTATTAAAAATACAACTGGTTGATCAATTGCTTTATTGAAAAAAAAATAGAAGTAGAAAAGAATTGATCCCAGGGAAAATGATTTCTTTAAAATAGGAAAAATTGTGGAAAGTTTAGCTGCACTAGAGAGAAAAATTGATTATGAAATTAACTTGAATAAAATAAGTTTGCTCCAGAAAGTACTTTCTCTTAAAAATTAACCTCTGTTGGTAAAATTCTCATGAAAAATTCTGCATTCCAAGTAACAAATTCAGAATTTCCTGGGTGCCTCCAAACCTCTTTGATCTTCCTGATCTCAGAACCCCTCTATTATTTATTATTCATTCGCAATTAGTTGTGTAACAAGATATAAATAAAGTCCGGGTCTGGAGAAGCTGATCATCTCTATCATGTGAAGGGTCACTTGAGTTGTATAATTGCAGAAACCCTTCTCCCCTCATTCTCCTGGAATTAGGAAAAAGGAAGACCTTTTATGTTTTATGTGATTTGGCAAAAATTTCCTCACACCATGTTTTACAGAGCTGGTGGCTGAGGAGGACCAAACCGATTCCACCCAGGACCTTCTGGGATGGAAAGGAAAGATGTCTGATTTGTCTTTC